TCACCCACAAAGGAGAGAAAAAAAAGGGGGGGGGGGACTCCACTCCTATTCTTCTCCTTCTTAGTTCAGTTTAAATCTTATCTTATAATCTCTTCATAATTCAACACAATTAAATGTAGAAAAGCTTCCACAGTTAAAATCATATACCTTAGCCTTTCCATGTCACAATAAACATGCCAACCCATTTATACCATTCCTTTTTAAGATTTCTTTTTTACACCTCTTCCAAACCGCTTTTGTTTTAATAGGGTTTGTTGAAAATCAATATTTTTAAACTTTACTTCTCCAGCCCATCTTTCTCCCCTTGGTGTTATTTGTTGAAAATCAACCCACTTCAAAGTCTGTATTTCAATCTTCACTATTTCTTGCTTTATCTTCAGTGATTGTAGCATTTGTTGTAGATCAGTATTTATTCCCAATGGCTGTGTTTTTTGCTGCAAATCAACCTTCACTGTTTCTTCTTCCTCAGAATCAATTTTAGTTAATTCAGGATCCATCCATCCTTCAAAAAAAATATTCCTTCCTTTGGCCAAATTTGTTTCTTTTTATCCACAGTTTCAAATTTTTCAAATTTTTCATATACTTGTTGCCTTTCTTGTATATTCTGTTCAGTTTTGGATTCTACATCAATCACCATCTCCTTAAAAGAAGCATCAAGCTTATCAAAGCGCTTTTTTTGTACAATTGAGGAGATTTCCTGTTGTCTCAACATCACCTCTTGGGATATTTGTAAAGTTGTTAAAGATTCTTGTATTTCCAAAAAAAAAATCTCTTCAGCTCTACCATCGTTCCAATAATTCCAATAGCCACAAAGTGACAGCCAAGATCAGTTCCACTTTTCTCTAGATCGCTAGTGGTCAGAAGGTTGACAAGTTGCCAAATACTTTGGCAGAGGTCCCAGAAACGCAGGAGAGGAAATGGAGATTCTTATATCCTTCCTCTTTTCTCCCTTTTCTCTCTCTTTTTTAATGCCAATTAACAACAGATACAGTTTTTCCACAAGTAGTATTGCAAAAGGAAAATAGGAATGCTCACCCAAACAGTCATCACATTAAAGAAGAAAGCATCCGACAATGTGAAAAATATCCTGGTGAGTGTCCAGTTGATCTTGGCAGAAGTCCAAACAGATATCCAAAATGATTGGTCAAAGCTTTGAACTCCTATCACGTAATTGCACCTTAAAAATTTAAACTAATTTTATACCCTTAGAGAAGTTAGAGGAAAAAGTCTTTTACTTCGGCTTCAACTTGGACAAAAGCCTCAGCACTCTCTCATCAAAGTTGCCGCCTAAACATCCAGAGGGTTTTTCTTTTCTTAATGCCAAATTATAAACAAATGCAGCTTTTCCATGGGTAATATTGCGAAAGAAGTAAAAAATATTTACTCAGCAGTTCCAATGCTTATCTAGCTAATAAAAATCCTAAGCTAATCTTCTAAGATGTCGAGAACTTGAAGGGGCTGAAACCACCCCCTGTGTTACTCGGTTGAGAAGTACCTGAATTGCTCTCAGCAGATATGAGATTGCCATCTCACATCAAGGCAAAAGCATGCCCAGGCAATCTGTCTTCACCCTGACAGAGCTTAGATGAGTCTCCCACGACTCGCTGCCGAGTAATACTGGCGTGGTAAATGAACTCCGTTAATCACATCCGTCTCGTTCCAACGCCATCTTGGAATCTCCTCCCTTATCTACTTGTGATACCAAAGCTCAATTTGTAAAATGGAATAGAATCAGTAGGCTGGAGCATCCTTGTGCCTGGCTGGAACAGAAGCAAAGTCTGCTAAGGCATTTTCCATTCTGGATGGATGAGTGGGAACCTTTGACATAGAGCTTTTCAATCTGACAAACTGTTTAATCTTACATTTTTGTTGTTTCCACTTCACTTAGAAGAGGTGAAGACAAATCTATAACAAGGGACCAGGAACCAATAATGTGAACTGATGCAGCTCTACCTTCAGCACACACACATTTTACTAACAAAGATGTTTTGTAAACTAACAGCTGTTTCCTAAAACCCCACCTCCCCCACACTCAAGAAGACTCCATGCATCTGATAAGTCAGCTCTAGTCCACAAAAGGTTTTTATTTTATTTTATTTTATTTATTTTATTTTATTTTATTTTTTATTTTATTTTATTTTATTTTATTTTATTTTATTTTATTTTATTTTATTTTATTTTATTTTATTTTATTTAGAAAATTTCTATGCCGCCCCATTCGCCGAAGCCTCGGGGCAGCTCACAAATATATCAATTAAAATATAATACAATAAAATATAAAACAAGTTTACAATATAAAATAAGTTGCCCTGGCCGAAGAATGAATGAATGAATGAATGAATGAATGAATGAATGAAAGAAAGAAAGAAAGAAAGAAAGAAAGAAAGAAAGAAAGAAAGAAATAGTATTAACAGTTAAAATGACGCTTGAATAAAAAGGTCTTCGCCTGGCGCTGAAAAACAAATAACGATGGCGCCAGGTGGACCTCTCTGGGGAGCGCATTCCATAGATTGGGCGCCACCACAGAGAAAGCCCTCCTCCGAGTA